AATTCGTTATTTAATTGCTCAATTTAACGTTTAAATGATTAAATTGACTGTTCAATTGAACAATCAATCGATCAATTAAACGTTTGAATGATTAAATTGACTGTTCAATTGAACAATCAGTCGATCAATTAAACGTTTGAACGATTAAATTGACTGTTCAATTAAACAATCAATCGTTCAATTGACAATCAATCGATCAATTGAACGTTTGAATTTTGACACATACTGGGGGGCTCGTGCCGGGATGTTCGCATGAAGGAGTAGCAATAGCAAGTGTACCAGTGTTATAGACGGATAGTGAGCCAGGATAAAAACATGTCGAGTTTTATAAAGATAATACGGGACTTTCTGACGCCCACGGGGAACTTATAGAGCGATATGGAATGCAACGCTGGCAGGCATCGGCGGAAGGCAGATGACTCATCGCCACACCAGCTGAGCGAGAGGGAAAGTGTGGGCAAGTCCATTATATTCAGAAGGGGGACAGGTACCGACGACCAGTCACGATGGCGTATCCACACCGGAGGAGTTTTCTAGGGATAGGAAGATATCTTAGGAAGCAGCCAAGGATTATAGGGATAAGATAACAGGATCGGAGAAGAGATTACAGGAAAGCTGGGAAGGAAATGAGCAGAAAAGGGGACAGAGATACCACGATGGAATGAGCCAGGAAAGCTTACACTGGTGAAGTCCGATCAGACATCATGGCAGCATTCCGAAAGCAGGAAGCGGCAGCGTGAATTCTGACTTCTTACCTGACGGGGAAGTAGATATTTTACAGGCACCTAAAAGAGATACGGCTACGGTTGGGCATAGACCATACACAAGGAGGGAGTCGATGCAAGGCATGCCGATAGCACGTGAGAGAAGTCCTTGGCGCAGTACACCTGTAAAGGAACGAAAACCTTCGAACTTAAGGAAGGTAGATGGAATTGCCTTAAAGCACTTCCTAATAAAATTCGAGATGACGGCAAGCTATAACCAATGGCCAGAGAATGCATGGGTAATTCAGTTAGGATTATGCTTGGAGGGGGAAGCTCTAGAAGTGATGATTGAGATGCCACGATCACAGCGTGCTGACTACGACAAGATTGTTGTCTGTTTGCAACGCAGATTCTATCCGGTAGAGCGAATCCACGTTTATCAGAGTGAGCTACGTCGTAGGAACAGAAGATATGAAGAGACACCCAAGGAATACGGCGCTGTCATGCGGCAGTTATTTGCTTGGGCATACCCTGGCATGATAGGTTTTCAGACGGAGCAGATCTTGATTGATAAATACCTGGAAGGAATAGGAGATGTAGAAATACAACGCTATGCACTCTTGCAAGGACCAAGCACACTGGACGAAGCTATAACTCGGGTAGCACAGTATGAGGCCGTTACAAAGGAAACGGTACATCGTAGAAAACCGCCACCAGGGGAAAGCACTTACGTACGAGCTGTGATGCCACCAGTGGATTTAGTGTCGAGTCTACGGGAAGAGATGCGAGAAGGGATGAGAAGCCTGAGACAGGAAATGGTCAGGATCATGAAGAACATGGAAGGTCAAGTGCAACAAAATACAGATAGGGCTGGAAGCAGAGGTCAAAGGTCGGGGAAGAGTATGCAGAATGCACCATTTAGCAGAATGGCAAAACCTCCGCAGAATAGGGCAAGAATAGCTGAAATAGAGTGTTATTATTGCAGGGGAAAGGGACACATGCAGAAAG